GTAGTTGTAGTAGTAGCAGTAGTAGTAGTAGTAGCACCAGTAGTAGTAGCAGCAGTAGTCGTATCTGTAGTAGTAGTAGTAGTAGTAGTAGTAGTAGAAGTAGTCGTACCAGTAGTAATCGTAGTAATAATAGTAGTAGCAGCTGCAGCAGTAGTAGTAGTAGTAGTAGTAGTGGTGGTAGTACCATCAGCAGCAGCAGCAGCAGAGGCAGTAGTAGTATTAGTAGTAAGTGTAGTCGTAGTAGTAGAAGTAGTAGTAGTAGTAATAGTAGCAGTAGTAGTAGTAGTGGCAGTAGTAGTAATATGTGTACTAGTAGGAGTAGTAGTAGTAGTAGTAGTAGTAGGAGTAGCAGTAGTAGTATTCGTAGCTGTATTGGTAGTAGTAGTCGTAGCAACTGTAGTAATGGTCGTCGTTGTCGTCGCCGTCGTCGGTCGGAGGTCCAGCTTGAGTTGGGGCTACAGATATAGTCGTAGTAGTAGTAGTAGTAGTAGTAGTAGTAGTAGTAGTAGTATCGTCGGGGCGGTAGTAGTAGCAGTAGTAGTAGTAGTAGTAATAGTACTAGTACTACTAGTAGTAGTAGTAGTAGTAGTAGTAGTAGTAGTGGTCGTCGTAGTAGTCGTCGTAGTAGTAACTGTAGTGGTCGCAGTACGAGCACTTCTAGTACTACTAGAAGTACTCGTAGCCGTGATTGTAGTAGTCGTCGTCGTCGTCGTCGTCGCCCTGTAGTCGTACCCGTTGTCGTAGTAGTAGTAGTAGTAGTAGTAGTAGTAGTCAGTAGTAGTAGTAGTAGTAGTAGCAGTAGTAGTAGTAGTAGCAGTAGTACTAGTAGTACTAGTGGGAGCGGCAGTAGTAGTAGTAGTAGTAGTAGTAGTAGTAGTAGTAGGTAGTAGTAGTAGTAGTGGTAGTAGTAGTAGTAGTAGTAGTAGTGGTAGTAGTAGTAGTAGTAGTCGTAGTAGTAGTAGTAGTAGTAGCAGTAGTAGTAGTAGTCGTAGTAGTTGTCGTAGCAGTAGTGACAGTATTATTCGTAGCAGTTGTAGTGGCATCAGTAGTAGCAGCAGTAGTAGAAATAGGAGCAGTAGTAGTAGCCGTAGCAGTAATAATTGTAGTCGTAGTCGTATTATTGTTACTACATCTAGTAGCAGCTGAAGCCGTAGTAGCAGTAGTAGTAATAGTAGTCGCAGTATTAGTCGTAGTAGTAGTATTAACAATAGTAGAAACCGCCGTCGTAGCAGCATCAGTAGTCGTAGGTTTAGTAGCAGCAGTAGTACTAGTACTACGGATACTACTACTACTAGAAGTAGCAGTAGTAGTAGCAGTTGTTGTTGTAGTATTGTTAGTAGTTGCAGCCGCAGTCGTAATCGTAGCCGTAGTAGTATCCATCGTAGTTGTGTTTGTAGTACCAGCAGCAGCAGCAGAGGCAGCAGTAGTAGTAGTAGTCGTAGGAGCAGTAGAAGTGATCGTATCAGTAGTAGTAGTAGTAGTAGTAGTAGCCGCCGTCGTCGTAGTAACCTCAGTAGTGTTCATCGTCGACGTCGTCGTCGGTCGGAGGGCCAGTTGGATTAGAGTAGTCGTCGTTGTAGCAGTAGTTGTAGTCGCAGTAGTAGTAGTAACAGTCGTAGTAGTAGTAGTAGTAGTAGTAGCAGCAGTAGTGGTAGTAGCAGTGGTATTTGTAGTGATAGAATTTCTCGCTGTCGTAGTAGCAGTAGTAGTAGTAGTAGTTGTTGTAGTCGTCGTCGTCGTCGTTGTAGTCGTTGTCGTAGGCGTAGTTTTAGTCGTAGTCGTTGTAGTAGCCGTAGTTGTCGCACTAGCAGTAGTAGTCGTAGTAGGCGTAGCAGCAGCAGTGGTAGTAGTAGGCCTTGTAGAAGTAGTCGTAGCAGTACCAGTGCTAGTGCTAGTACTTGTCGCAGCCGTAGCCGTAGTAGTAGTAGTAGTAGTAGTAGTAGTAATAGCAGCAGTAGTAGTAGTAGCAGTAGTAATAATAATACTAGTAGTCGTAGTAGTAGTAATAGTAGTAGTCGTAGGAGTAGTAGTAGTTTAGTAGTAGGAGTAGCTGTAGTAGTAGTAGTAACAGTCGTAGTAGTAGTAGTAGTAGTAGCAGTAGTAGTAGTAGCAGCAGTAGTAGTAGTAGTAGTAGTAGTGGTAGTGGTAGTATAGTCGTAGTCGTAGTAGTAGTAGTAGTAGTAGTAGTAGCAGTAGTAGTAGTAGTAGTAGTAGTAGTAGTGGTAGTGGTAGTGGTAGTGGTAGTGGTGGTAGTAGTAGTAGTAGTGTGGTAGTAGTAGTCGTAGTAGTGGTAGCAGTAGCAGTAGCAGTAGTAGTAGAAGTAGTAGTAGTAGTAGTAGTAGTTGTTGTGGTAGTAGTAGTAGTAGTAGTAGTAGTAGTAGTAGTAGTAGTGTAGTAGTTGTTGTTGTAGCAGCAGTGATATTAGTCGCAGCTGTAGTAGTAGCAGTCCTAGCAGTAGTAGTAATAGTAGTAGTAGTACTACTACGTCTACTAGTACTAGTAGTAGTAGTAGTAGTAGTAGCAGCAGCAGCAGCAGCAGCAGCAGTAGTAGTAGTAGTAGTAGTAGTAGTACCACGGCGGCGACGACGACGACCTACCGACCCCGACTCACGGACGACGACGTCGACGACGATGCCGACAAACGACCCACGACGACAACGACGACCGTCGACAACGACGCCAACAACGACGCCGACATAATTACGACCACGATAAAGACGGCGGCGACGACGACGACGACTACGACCGACGGCATCGACGACCGACGACGACCGAATCAGCGCTCGCACAGTGGCGACATGGCTTTCCAAGGCCACTGCATCCTTATCGCGCGTCCCTATTCTACGGGCTGACTGTAGGGATCCAGATCTCTGGCGACGTGGTTTTTCAACGCGGGCGCGCATCCTCGAGTTCGGCCAGCGAGGCCCCTTTTTCAGGCCCCAGGGCCACCAAAAGTGCATCCTGGGCGGACGAGGGCCCCCACGGGAGCGCGGGCCGAGACCATCCTCGAGGGCCGCGCACGAGAGAGCGCAGGCCGTCGGACGCCCGGGGGCGAGGGCGGGGGCAGGGAGAGGCGGCAGGAGTCGGGAGGCGGGAGGGCACACAGGGGGGGAGGAGGCAGGGAGGAAGGAGGAGGGCAGGAGGGAGGAGGGGAGGAGGGCGGGAGTGGGAGGAGGGGAAGAGGGCAGAGACAGAGAGATGCCAAACGGCGGGAGGCGGGAGGACGCGCAGAGGGGGGGAGAGAGAGATGACAGACTCAGAGCCCCGCCGCTGTAACTCGTTTAGTGACGTGGGCCCTCACAGATCTGGACGCCCTCGGTGGACTATCTTACCATCCTGAATCTCTTCGTGGCGGCCCCGCGGCCGGGCCAAGCCCCACCAGAGGCCGAGAATTGCCGAAGACCTCCCATCGCGATCGCTTCAAGACGCGAGGGGGTCTGTGGAGGGCGGCTGGACGGAGGACGGAGGCTTGGAGATGAGCGGCGGGCCGGCGCCAGGCGCTGGAGAGGGAGGCCAGGCTGCTGGCCGCCTCCGAGCGGCTGCGGCGGTCGAAGGCGGAACAGCAGAGGCTCTCCGCGGGGGGGCCGCGGGCCAGAAGGCGGTCCAGTGCGTTCGTGTCTTGTTTGCGTGTGCGGGGAGCCCCCACGGCCTGGTCTTGTTTCTTGGGAGGGGAAGCTTTCGGGAGGACGAGGCGGGGAGGACGAGGAGGATGACGATGGGGGCAGGAGGAGGAGAAGGAGGAGGAGGAGAAAAAGGAGGCGGACGAGGAGGACGACGACGAGGACGAGGACGAGGATGGTGAAGAGGAGGTGGCGCAGGTGGAAGTGCAGGAGGAGGATGCATCCGAGGTTGTTCTGGGGAAGCGGGGCCGGAGTAGGAGGAGAAGGAGTCGAGATGTTCTGGTGCTGCCACGGGAAGGGGTCGTGTGATCTTGGGGCCCACGGGCTGAAGCAACAAATCAAACAGCCCCCCCGGCGGTCTGGGACGGCTGGATACGCCTCGAAGCTGCGGTCGGAACAGACTCTGGGACGGCAGGTCCAGGGCCGGCATTGAAGCGGCGCCGCGGCCATCGTCGTCGCCTCACGGCAGGGCGTCGTGAAAAATTACGGTCGGGATCTTCGGTTTAGCGTGTCGCTTCGCCAGTTCTGGCCCACCACGCTTCGGCGCGACATGCTATCAACGGTTCGAGTTTTTCACCGCCTCCCGCCCCGCAGAGCGGAGCGGCACGCCATCCGCTTGAAAGGTATAGCGTGTCGCCGGGGCTGTCGCCGCGACACGCGAAGCAAAAGTTCCTGACCGAAATGTCAGCTGGAGATTCATAAACGAAAGGGCCCCGCCGAGCCTAATGCATAGACCCCGCAGGGCGCGAAACATATTTTAATGATTGGGCGCGCCAGGGGTCGTCACGGGCGCCGCCGAGGGGATCGTGCAACCCCGTACACGGCACCCTAAAAACGATTGCCTTCCGTCTTTTAGTAGTTATAACACGGACCGCATACATGCGAGGCGAAGGTTTCCCCCTTCTCGTACTGATTACTGACGTGCCGCAGTCGTGGTCGTCGTGGTCGTGGTCGTCGTCGTCGTCGTGGTCGTCGTCGTTGTCGTTTTCGTGGTCGTGGTCGTGGTCGTGGTCGTGGTCGTCGTCGTCCGTCGTCCGTCGTCCGTCGTCCGTCGTCTTTGTCGACGTCACTACAGCGGGCCTACGCAGCACCCCGCTGCCGCCCCCCAGGAGGCATCCGCAGTGCGTCGTCGTCCGTCGTCGTCGTCATCGTCGTCGTAGTCGTCGTCGCGTCGTCGTCGTCGTGTTCGTCGTCGTCGTCGGCGGCGTCGTCGTTGTTCGTGGTCGTCCTTCGTCGACGACGACAACGGGCCTACGCAGCACGCCCCCCCCACCCTCCCCCGTGGAGCATCCGCAGTGCGTCGCCGTCGTCGTCGTCATCGTCGTTGTCGTCGTCGACTGCAGCGGTGCTTGCAGCGTTGCTCCCCTCTCTGGGGCATCCGCAGTGCGTCGTCGTCCACCGCCGCCACTGTCGTCGTCGTCGTCGTCGTCATCGTCGTCGTCGTTGTCGTTGTCGTCGTCGTCGTTGTTGCGTTGTCGTCGTAAAACGTATTGTTGTTGAGGGGGTGGAAAGGAGAAGGATGATATTTTGCCGGTTGCCTCTGCCGCTCCCACCCTATTGCATTATTTTTGTAGCCACGTCGACACCGCCCGCCAGCTGAGGCGCCTCTTCCTCCCGCCTCCTCTTTCTCTCGTGTCTGTAGTTATTTTTGGCCCGAACGCCCCGCTGTAGCGGAGGCGCTGCTGTCCCCCTCCGCTGAAGCGGCGACGCTTGCGTCGTGCCTGTCGCCCTCTGGCTGTCGGCCAGGTGCCGGCATTAATCACCGGCGCCGCCGTGGTGTGTTTCCTTTTGGCGGGCGCACCCCCGCGATTCCCCCGAGCAGGGAAACGATTGTTTAAATCACGCGCCGGGCTTGTTTTTCACGAATCCAAAGCTGAGTGGCATTCGGACGTGCCGTGGCCCACCCAAGGATCCTCTCTGGATCGATCTCGTTCAAGAAGCCCGGCGTCAGGGTGGGGTCGAAGGGTCCGGGCGTGTTTCCCCCGCGTGATAGCCGCCATTGTTTCACGACTTTGGACATGCGGGGATGATCAATGGCGGTTGTAATTTCCCTTTTCGTTCTGTTATCCGCAGTCACTTTGCAGACGCACTCTGCGTCCTCAGGCCAAGCGCTGAAGACCACACTGGAAAGGCGAAGTTGCACGCTAGGTGGAGATGGGACTCAGGGGCGCCGAAAGCGAAGAATAGTTCAGGGAAGAAGCATCGACCCCGAGTCGCCCTTTCAGTGCCGACCAGGGCCCCAGTGAGTGTCCCCCCCTTGCCCAGGAACGCGCGGCTTGCCATCTGAGGCCTGCCTCCGGTGTATCGGGCGACGCATCGTCGATTCAGGGCCGATGTGTCACCAGCCTCCCCGAGCCACTCTACCTTCTCGGCGCCCAGCAGGCACGAACAGCAGTGGGAGGCAGGCGTGGGCAGACGGCCGCGCCACACCAACTTCCCCTGAGCAGCCCCGAGAAGCGCGCACGTGGGCAGCATCCGCGGCGTGCGCCGTTCGATCGCGCGGGGTCCCTAGGGCCACCAGGGCTCCGCAGGGCCAACAGGGGCCCCCATGAGGGTCCAGGAAGACGGGCCTGTTCGGGGTTGTGTTTGTTGTTGGTGTTGCTCCGATGCCGCAGTTGATTGAGTATCAATGGGGCAAGAAATCCTGATAATGATACGTTCCCAGGCTCCCAGAAGCTCCAAGACCTCAGATTCTGTTCAACAGGGCTCAAAAGCGAGAGCGGCCAGATATTTCTGGACATCCCAGAGCGCATCCTGAGCCAATCGCGCCACGCTGTCGTGTCCGTCCTTGAAAAGAACGCCCTCCCCCCCGCCGTGCAGCACGCCGCTGGCCCTGGCCGCACCACCCTTTCCAGACCACCGGCGCCGTGGTTCTTTCAAGGCGTGGGCCCCCCTGCAGAGCTCACGACCCCATCCCTGCGGCCAGCTATTGTCGCCACGGTTCGCTCTGTGATGGCCCAGGGCGCGACAGGCTGCCCGGGGAGGTTGGAGCTCGGGAAAGGGCACTTGCAACCAAAACATGCTCCCCGGGGCGTCGGAGGTAGCTGGTCGGGGCCACCCCTGCGGGAACCGTTGCTCGGCCAAGGCTCGCGCTGGAGCAGGAGTCGAGGGAGCTGGAAGATCGCATCCAGCAGGAGCGTGCGCGCAAGGAGCGGGCTGATGTCAGAGCCCCCCAAAGCAGATGTTGAACATGCCACAAGGAGAGAGCGAGTAACGGATACTGTGTCGAGCACGCTAGCGAACCAGCAGTGCACGAGTGTGCATTATCGAAGACGCCTACGGCGAATCACCGCCGCCCCCTGCCTTCCAGGATACGCCTACAAACGTTTGGACAAAGTTTGGCCACGCTATTGGACCATGCGTTCCCCCAGCCGCTGTGGAAGCCCTTCGGGGAACACGTGGGAGAGGAAGAGGAGGATGAGGGGAGGAAGAAAAAAAAGGATGATGGTGATGAGGAGAAGGATGAGTAGACCTCCTGGGAGCTTCTTGGGGCCACCTGGGAGCTTCCTGGTGGCTACTGCTTCGGGGCCTCTCTGGGACCTCCTTGGGCCTCTTGGGGGCCTTGAGGGGGTGTCGGGGGTTTCTTGGATGCCTTTTCGGCCGTCTTACTGGCGTTCCTGGCCCTCCTGACGCCGTCGGAGGTCGTCGTGGAAGCCTAGTTTGGCCGTCCTAGGGCCGTCCTAGGGCCCTCTTGGAGTGCTTCAGTGTCGTTTTCAAGCGCATCTTGGGCGTCTTGGAAGCTTCTCGGGCCGTCTTGGGATCATTTGGGGACCGTCTTGGGAGCCTCTTGGACAGTCTTGGGGCCAGATTGGAAACCTCTTGGGGGATCGTGGGGCAATCTGGGAGGCCTCTTGGGGCAATCTTGGGGACACGTCCCAAGAGCGCTCCAAGATGGCACAAGATGTCCTCAAGGCGGCCCAAGAGGCCTCGAAGACGCCCCAACAGGCCTCCAAGAGGACTCCCACGAGGGCCTAAGGAGGCTAACTACGTAACATTAGGTTGTTGAAAGTGTTGGAGCTTCTCGCCGATTCGAGCCAAGAACGGCCCGAGAGAGCTTTGTGAGTCCAAGAGATTGCGCCAAGGCGGTCCAAGAGGCTCCCAAGAGGGCTTCAAGATGGCACAAGAGGCCAGCAAGACAGCCCAAGAGAGCTCAAAAATGACTGCCCAAGGAGGGCCCAAGAGTGCCCCAAGAGGCTCACCCGGAAGCCCAAAGCACGACAAGAAGGGCCACAACGCGACACGCCAGTCGAGAAAGCAGGGGTAAGGGAAAATATAATAGGATGAGAAACGGGCGAGAGGAAGATGAGAAAGAAGTGGAGGAATAAGGGATAAGCCAGCAATTTCTTGCGCTCTGGAAGTAGATGCGTTTTCCGTCCCCGTGCTAAGCAGGTCGAATGGCCCTCGGCCCATCCCGCCACCGTACCTGGGTTATGGGTCAGCGGCCTCGTGGATGCGTCTTGGGGTCTCTTCGGAGGGTTCTCGGGGAGGCCTCTCTGGGGCAGTCTTGCTGCCTCCTGGGGGCTTCGTGGGAGCTGAGGAGCCTCTTAGGGCGTCCTGGGCGCCTCTTGGGGGCTTCTTGGGGCCTCGTGGGGCCCTCTTGGGGCCCTCTTTGGGCTTCCCGGGGACTTCTGGGGCGGTGAGCTCGACATGTCGGTTCGTGTTCCCCCCCTGGGGCCCTTCCCTGGGCGTTATTGGGGGCCCCTCCTGGTGCGTAATTGGGGCCCTCCTGGGCCATCTTCGAGGCTTCTCGGACCGTCAAGGGGGCCTCCTGTGGCGTCTCGTCGCCCTCTTGGCGGCCCCTCGGGCCGTCCTGGAGCGATATCTGGGGTCTCTTGGGCCGTCTCGGAGCGTCGGAAGCCGACAAGGCAGAAGTTTTGGAATATGTCGAAAACCCAAGGGAACTCAATGCGTGCTGCCTCTTGCGGCCCTCTTGGGAGTGCTCCTGGAAGCCTCCTGGGGCATCGCGGAGGCGTCTTGGGCCATCCCGAGGCCATCTTGGGCGTCCTGGAGCGATCTTTCGGCGAGCCTGGGCCCGCTAGGACTGTCTGGGCGACCTCCAGGGCTTTCTTTCCCCGTGTTCGGGCCCTCCTGGGCGAGGGGACCGTCCCGGAGGCCCACACGGGCCACTGGAAGCGCCCAGCAACGCACGGGAATTCACAGGAATTCCAGGAATGTCGTGGTCACCAGTCACCTTGCAATGTCTTAGAAAACCTTACAATGTCGAGGATGTCGCGTCCAGGAATGTCTTATAAACTCTTACACTCCCCCCAGTCACCCTTCAGAACTGCATGAGCCTCGGGGCGCTCCACCTCGTGCTCGAGGCAAGGCAGCCGTTCCGGTCAGCTTTGTGTGTGTGCTTGTGTGTCTGTGTGTCTGTGTGTCTGTGTATCGGTGTGTCCGTGTGCCCGTGTGTCTGTGCGTCTGTGCGTCTGTGTGCTTGTGAGCGTGCGTCTGTGAGTCTGTGAAGTGTGTGTGTGTGTGTCTGTGCGGCTGTGTGTTGCGTCTGTGGTTGTGTCTGTGTGCCTGTGTGTGTGTCTGTGTGTCTGTGTGTCTGTGTGTCTATGTTATGTGGGTCTGTGTGTTTTTGCGTCTTTGTGTCTGTGTGTCAGTGTGTCTGTGTGCTTGCGAGTCTGTGTGATGCGCAGGCCCGACACCCGTGACGCTTTGAGCATAATCACCCCCGAGGTTGCCAATGTCCATGTTGTGGTCGCGACACCCACTGGCAGCACCCGTGCAGGGCAGCCGGCGACTACCTTGAATGGGCCACCACTGCTATTCCCCTCCCACGCAAGCCAGACTTCCAGGCAGGCATCGAGACCCTGGCTCACCACGCAGTTAGAATATTTACTAACGCCGCCAACCCGACCCGAGCCAATGCCGCAGCCCAGACATTGGATCAAATGTACGCCCAAGTACAGCAGTTCAACCACGCAGGCATCCCCTATCAGCGCGTGGCGCCTAAGCGACACCGCGGAGGCCGTCCATATTCCAGTAAGAGGAGGTGCCCTACCACTCACTTGCCTTTACGCTACCAGAGCCGCAGCTGCGTTTGGACGCAGGACGAGCGTTACCGCAAGTGGACTCTTGCTTTCGAACGCCTTAGCGCACGTCGCCGCCCCCGTCCTGCGCCACCTCAGTGGGATAATACCGCGGGCCATCGCTGACCACGGGCGACCCCGCGCCGTTGTCCCGCGGAGGATCTCCGTGGCCAGTCCGGCCCACGGGACGCCAAGCTTGGCATGTCTTGATGACCCCGCGGACGGGCAGCAGAGACGCTGGAACGTAGCTACCTCTGGGCAGGGAGACCTGCAATCCATCATGGAAGCGGTAGAGGTCTCCGTCGGATGGGGCGCCATCGGCTCTTCACATCCAGTCCACGACTGGCACCCCGACTCGGACGACGATCAGGACATGTTTCAGGTCACCCTTATTCCAGGCAGAGAGGGACCTACGCGCGACGCCTTCGGCTCGGCCGACAACATACGCGTCGGCGATAAGGTCTACAGGAGTTTCCCCCGCTGTACCAACCCTCGAACAGCAGCGGATTCTCCCCACCTTGGACAGAACCCGGGAAGCTCACCTCGAGGCCGCAGCGCTGTCCGGCGTCAGCGTTGCCAGCAGAGCGGCGGAGCAACCCCAGATCCTCCAGACCGTTAGATTCGATCGAACAGGTACCGCCATCGGCCTGCCCGCCGCTCGTGTTTTGGACCCAGCCGATTGGCTTCCCCCCCACAGGCGGCTCCGAACCGCCAGTGGCAGGCTTGGCTTGGTAGGATGTCGGCTGTGCACCCGGGCGTGGCCTGCCCCCGACACAGGGCAAGGTAGGAATACCCCGCAACCTGAGCCCCCGCCAATAACCAGCGACTGGGTGACCAGCCACATTAGCGCCGTGCACGAGATTACTCCTACGGCACGACCGCCAGGCGTCCTCTTGGCGGGTGGCGGATTGGGCGCGCGAGACGTAGACCTGAGCCTCTACGCAGGCGGGTACGCCATATTTTCACTACTCGCGGCAGGGCAGATCTCCGTTACGACCCCATGGGGAGCTTGCTACCCTCACTGTCAGTGCCCCCACTTGGGCAACCGTGGTCACGCCTGCAGCAGCGGACCTACAGCCAGGCCCCGCTAGATCGATCGAATAATTACCAGCCTCTTCTAGTCCTTCTGGTCGCCGTCTCCGCTGCCGATCCTCCACCTGTTCTGGCGGCCCAGCTTCTCCCTGGGAAGTCCCGAGGCGCTCTGCCATTTCACCGGCAGCACGCCCTGGCCACATGGATTGAGGGGAGGATCCACGTTGAAGCAGGCAGGCAGCGCACCGAGAGACCCCTCCAGCGCTATGCCTGGCCGATGGCGCTGGTCTGCTGGACCATCCAGTCAACTGCCGCAACCGCCATCGATCGAGACCACTACGACCAGATTATGAGACATGGGCATCAGCGGGGCCACGCAGAGGCTGTCACCCTCTGCGCAATGGCCCCGACCCCCCCCCCCCGACCCCACCCACACAGCCCACTTGCCACTCCACGCAGCTCCGGCGCAAGGGGCAGCGCGCCCCCCTCGGCGGCCCCGAGGAGGCACACTGGCGGCCGTCGCGTGTTCAGGATGCGCGCCGAGCCTGCTGGCGACCGACTTGACGGCGGACCCGTGCGGGGGCCGCGCGACCTCACTGGGCGCAGGAGCCGCGCGAGAGGTGCCCGAGGCGCTCGCGCCCCGAAACCTCCCCCAGGCGGATCCGACTCCGGCGGGCGAGACGCGCGCCCCGCCGCCCAAGCCGGCCCAGATGCCGGCGACAGGGGCCCGCCCAAGGAGCATCGGGGGTCCCCGAACGGAGTGGTGACCACACCGTGCGGTGAGTTGGTGGGGATTCGGGGTCACCGCACGGTTTTGGGACTCGAGTCCTTCTTCGAGGATGTCTCGGGCGACAGGCCTCCAGGGTCCCAAAACCGTGCGGTGACGGACCGTGCGTTGAGGTCTTGGGGGATTTCGAGGTCACCGCACGGTCCGTCACCGCACTTCGGGACTCCAAAGAGGAGGCGAACCACGGTGGCCCCCCGATCCCACCGCCGGCTGCCACGCGGAAGCCGGGCAAGGGCTGCGAAATCCGTGGCTGCTGCAATCGACCTCCGGGAAGTTGTCCTCTCGCCCTTCCAGGAGGGAGCCCGTGGACTGCTTCGCGCGCCGCGCCTCCTTCCGGGAAGTCGTTGTTTCCTTCCGGGAGGGCCGCTTTAGCAGCCGCGGTTTCAGCCGCCCCCGCCCAGCCTCAGCTTTCGAACCACCCGCACTCCAGACCAGAAGATGGGGCGGCGCACTGCGGCGCAGCCTGACGCCCACGAGCCGCCGCGGGGCAACCCGCGCGCCGACGCGGTGCCCTGTGCCGGCCCGCCTGACCACGCCCCTGCACTCAAGTCGGGCCTGTCCCTCTACACTCTACAGGGGGAGCATTCAAAAATAGTTTAAAAAATAGTCTGGGAACTATTTTCTACAATTTTTTTTTTACAATTTTGGAATATGTTTTGAGTTTGTTTTATTTTTCGTCGAGAATCCCCCTGTAGGGGGACACGCCCGACTTAACCCTGCACCGGGGCAGGGCGTCGGCCCCTCCCAGGGCTGGCCGCTGAGGAACCCATCGCGGGCAGCCCCCCCGCAGCGAACCCGCCCGCAGGCGGCGCCGAGGGCTCAAGCGCGAAAACTCCCCCGGGCCACCCCCAGCGCGACCCGGGCCCTGGCTCCCTCGCCTGCCAAGAGGGCCTCCCAGGCCCAGGTGGATAGCGGAGTACGCGACGCCGCCTCAAGAGCAGGTGGTTCGACTCTGTCGCCGCCTCCTTTCCACGGCGGGCAGGCTGCCCTCAGGCGCCGCCCAGGGTATGGCTACGTATCACAGTGACCTTCTGCGCTCTTTCCATGACATCCTCGGGCGGCCCCTCTCCTCCCGCGGAGAGGCTGACGATCGCGCGCGCAGCCTTGTTCTTCCTGGCGTGGCGGAGTGCCGGGGCGCTCGCGTCTGGAACGCACTCGTCGACGCTGCCATGGCCAACGCTACCAGCGATGACCCCCCCAGTGGCGAGATGCTCAACGGGGAGGACGAATCGCGGCCGCCCCCCCCAGGGGCCCCTGCCGCGGGCCTCGTGTTCGACCGGCTGGGGAAACAGAGCGCGAAACTGCCTGGGCCCCCATGGGGGAGGTCATGAGAAGCTGCCCTGACGACCTCGCAGCAGCCGCGCGCAGCGGAGGCCGCGCAGCTATCCCGATGGCCCCGGGCCGCAGACCCCGGGCGAAGCCGGCGCTAACACGAATCGATGGCAGGCCGCCCTGTCTGGCATCATTTGGGGCGCGCTCATTGGCGGGCTCAGAGCCAGCTCCTCGTCAACCCTGGCCTCTCGACAGAGCCCCTCGAGCTACTCGCCCTCTGCTGGAGCAGGCAAGGCCTCCCGAACTCTACGCGGCCACTCCCCGTAGACCCCCCACTGCGGTCAATGTAAACCTTGCCCTGGACGCCGCTTGCCTTCGCATCCAGGAGATCGATCGGAGAAGCCTCAAGCGCCCCGGACCTGCTCCTTCCGCTTGAACCAGTCGAGCCCATCCCGCACTTTGTCCCCCACCACATAACCACGGATGTCGCAAGGGAAACCCCCTCGCGCCCCACACTGCGCCTCCCGCGTGACATCCTGCCTGCCGCGGTCATTCTCGGGGGCGCGACTCCCGTTGAACGGGATCAGGTAGACAGACCCGCCGAGCCCTCCGATCACACTCCAAGTCCCCCTTCCGGGGGAGCGATGAGCCTAAATCTCGGCGAACCAGCGCCTTCGGAGCCAGAGCCAGCGGCGCCCCCCGCGGGCGTAGCAGGCGAGGGGTTGATCTCGCCCAGCCCCGCCCCGACTCGCGGCCGAGCGCGAGCGGCCGCCCGAGGACGGAGAGGCAGCGGCCCGCCTCGGGCGCAGCGCCCGCGCACGCCCGACCCACGTCTGCGCAGCGCTCGCCCCCGCCAGGCAGAGCAGTCCCCACAGCGACCGCCAGCCCCGACTCGCGAAGGCCCCGCCCGGGGGCCCACCGGAGCGACAGCCCTGATCTCCAGGGCAGATGAGGCCGACCCCTCGGTCGGGCCTCCGCGCCTTGCTTGGTGTTCAGGCCAGGCCCCAGCCCTCGTGCCGGCCTTGCCGGTTGGCCTGTTCGCTCGCTGCTCCGCCCCTCCGTGGTCCCGTGTACCCGGGCCGCCCGCCCTCCCGCGCCTCGCAGGTCCGTGGATCTCGGCGCCGCGCGTTGCTCCGCCTGCTGGGCCCTTGCCAGCTTCCCCCCGGACCCTCTCCTGAGGTGGACTTCGTTGGTTGCCCAGTCGCTTGGAGGCCGGCTCGATCTCAGCGTTCGGCCGCCTCGCTGTGCTTCCCGCTGCGGCCCCTGGTGCCGCTCCCCCCCGGCTGACTGCCCCGCGGCCGCCGCCCCGGCGCTGACCCGCTGCCGCCGGACCCCGCTCTGAGCGGGCCTGGCCTCTGTCTCCCCCGCCTCCCGCGCCGGGCGTTTCCTCCCTTCCTCTCGTGCACTGCGGCCCAATCAGCATGTGTATGCCCTACATGTGCCACATCGCCCGCGCAGTCACTCTGCCTAGCTGCTGACGCAAAAATGAGTCGGTGCGTCTGTGTGTCTGTGTGTCTTTGTGTCTGTGTGGCTGTGTGTCTTTGAGCATGCGTCTGTGAGTCAGTAGATATGTGTGCCTGTGTGTCTGTATGTGTGTCTGTGTGTGTCTGTGTGCTTGTGTGTGTGTGTCTGTGTGTCCGTGTGTCCGTGTGTCTGTGTGTCTGTGTGTTTGTGTTTTTGTGTAGTCGGTGTTTCTGTGTGTCAGTGTGGCTGTGTGTCTGTGTGTTTGCGTGTCGTTGTGTCTCTGTGTGTCTGTGTGTCAGTGTGTCTGCGTGTCGTTGTGTCTGTGTGTCGATGTGTTTGCGTGTCTTAGTAGATTTGTGTATGTGAATATGTGTGTCTGTTTGTCTGTGTGTTCATGTGCGACTGTCTATGAGTATGTGTGTCTGTGCGTTTGTATGTCTATGTGTCTGTGTGTGTCGGTGCGTTTGCGTGTCGCTGTGTCTTTGTGTGTCTCTGTGTCTGTGTATCTGTGTGTCTCTGTGTCTATGTGTCTCTGAATATGTGCATATGTGTGTCTGAGTGTCTGTGTGTTTGTGTATCTCTTTGTCTGTGTATCGGTGTGTCTGTGTGTCTGTGTTTCTGTGTTTCTCTCTGTCTGTGTGTGCCCGTGTGCATGTGTGTCTGTGTGTCTTCGTGTGTGTGTGTGTGTGTCTGTGTGTCTGTGTGCCCTGTGTGTGTTTGCATGTGCGCGTGTGTGTGTCTTTGCGTGCCCGTGTGCGTCTGCGTGTGCGTGTGCGTGCGCGTGTGCGTGTCTGCCTGTGTGCGTGTGCGCGTGCGTGTATGCATTGTCGTGCCGTGTCGTGTTGTGTTGGGTTTCGTTGTGTTGTGCTGCATGCTGCGCGGCGGCTCGCTTCGGGTCGAGCTGCCGCGTGCACCCTGCCGCCCTGCAGGGCTGCGATGGTGCAGCGCGAGCCTTGGGCACTGATCTGGCTGGCCGCGGCCGCACAGACACTCCAGCGCGTCGCGCTCGCGCGCCGCCTGCCAAGAGACAACGCGTGTGTCGTGCTGCGCGTTGCGTGTGGACGGCTGCGTGCGGCGGCGTTTCCGACCCTCCGCTGAGGACTCCCGGCTCCAGCAGGCCAGCGTGCGGGCCTACGACCAGGCGGAGGCGGAGTCCGCGGCGCTGTCTGGCCAGCTCCAGGCCCGACGCGGAAGCCGCGGCGCGCGCGGCCTCACCGCCGAGGGCAGCCTCTGGGGACGCGGTTTTTACTGAGGACCCCTGTGTTTCAGGCTTCGGGGTTTGTTCGAAGGAGACGCGTTTCGCCCGGAGACGGCTGCGGCCACGAAGTGCCAAGTGTGAATCGATGCCTGACGCGGTCATGCAAATGCAAACGCAAGCGATGACACAAGCGCCCTTCGCGGGGGTGAGGGCTCCGACATGGATCGGGTATAGCCAGGACCCTGGGTAAGGGGACCCCGTTAGTGGTAGGGCCCCGGAGCCCCTGAATGGGCCAGAATCATTAAACCAGGTCTGCCGTAGCTGGTGTTTTTCGGGCGACGGCAGCTCTGGCTAGTGGAACGGGGCGGGGGGGCGTCTCGGGGGCCCCCAAACGGGGTGGTGACCACACCGTGTGGTGAGTCGGTGGGGATTCGGGGTCACCACGCGGTTTTGGGACTTGGGTCGTCCTCCGAGGATGTCCCAGGTCTGGGGTCGTTCTCCGAGGATGTCTTGGGATCCCCAAGGCGTCCCCCAGTGCACATCACTAAACCAGGTCCCACGAAACCCAGTTCTGCCATCTCCCGAAGGGAACCTGCCTCGTCAGTCTCGCGCCCTCCTGGACGCTCCCCCGAAGGAGCGCCCCGCGTCGCTTCCAGCCCTCCGACGTCGCCGGGGGCCCCCAGGGCTCTCGACCCCATCCCCTGGGCTGTGCTTTTTTCGTCGCGGGCCGTGGCGGCCCCGGGGCCGGGAGCAGTGGCCTCCTTCCTGGGCCGAAGCGCAGGAGAGATGCTCGTCGTTGTTGTTGCCAGGACGTCGGAGATCTGTCGTACCAAAAACGGCACATGCGAAACTGTTGGAGGTCCGCGCGGATTCCTTGGATCGGCGCTGGAGCCTCCTCCTTGGCGCGCTCCGCGCGCCAGAGGCGGTGCCAGAGGCGCCGTCAGGGGGGCCCAGCGCAGATCCCAGAAATCCGCGCGGATCTCCGCCTCCGGCGCCGCCCCTGGCGCGCGGAGCCATCCCCGATCCAAGAGATCCGCCGGGAGTGGGCTCCAGCGCCGATCCAAGAGGTCCGCGCGGACCTCATGTCATTGTCTGTTCCTCGAGCGGGGCGCGCTGCCGCCCCCGCCTCCCGCGGACACCCGGCGGAGTCCCAGGGTGTTTGGGGAGCCTGCAGGTAATGGATCGCGACGTGTCCCCCCCCCTGAGCCTGTCATCCCCGAACGCTTCCCCTGGGATTCGTGAGGATGGGGCAGGGTGGGAGGGGAGAGGAGGGAGTACCAGGGGGAAGGGAAGAGGAGCAGCATGGGGAGGGAGGTTGGCGGAGGGAGCAGGGGCAGGGGAGAGGGAGGACGGAGGAGGAGGGAGAGGGAGGACGGAGGAGGGGTCAAGGAGGGTTGCAGGGGCGCGCGCGGGTCCCAGGGGGCGCGCGCGGGTCTCAGAGGCAGGAGGGGAGAGAGGAGGAGAGAAGGAGGAGGAGCAGAAGGGGAGGAGGAGGGAGGAGGGAGGAGGAGGAGAGGAGAGGAGGGGGAAGGGGAGGGGGGAGGGGGAGGGGAGGGGGAGGGGGAGGAGGTGGAGGAGGAGGAGGAGGAGGAGGTGGAGGAGGAGGGAGGAGGAGGAGGAGGAGGGAGGAGGAGAGGAGGAGGAGGGAGGAGGAGGAGGAGGAGGGGGAGGAGGAGGAGGAGGGGGAGGAGAGGAGGAGGGAGGAGGAGGAGGAGGAGGGAGGAGGAGGAGGAGGAGGAGGAGGAGGAGGAGGAGGAGGAGGAGGAGTCCTGGCTCCTGGATGCTCCGAGGCGCCAGGAGCTCGTGCGAGAGCCGACCCCGTGCCTCCGGCGCTCTGGAGGCGGGCCTCCGGCGGCACCTGCTGTGTCACGGCGTGTTCGCTTTCGTGCGAACGCGGCGGCGACCCCGCTGCGGGCGGTCAAGGCTGAACGCCGCCAGTGGCCCAGAATCGGCCAACGTGGATCGACCTGGCGATCGCCAAGCCGCCGATCGCTCGAGGTTGAACGATCCACGCGGGGTCAGAGACAAGCGCCCGAGTCGTCACGACTCGGCGGCGAGCGAGGGGGCGAAGTGAGACGGAGAATTCCTTCTCGGAAGGCGGCGGGGCGTCTCGGAAGCCCTCGCGCCTCCTGACAAGTTTTCTGTGTCTTCCGGGGAGACTCAGGAAACAATTCAGAAGGCTTGGGGATTGGGGGACTCCCGAGTCTGCTGAGAAGGCCCGCCCCCACTTCCCTCCGGGCTCGCCGCCGGAGGACACGAGCCTGCCCGCGCATGCTGCTGCAATTGTGCTCGGACCTCTGCGGGGGTTCGTGCCGCCCCGCGGCGGCGGCGGCGCGGGCGTTCGGTGCTCACAGCGCCTGAGGCTCCCGGCGGGACCCTTGGGCAGCGGAGGCTTGCTGTAGGATTGGGCGGTTCGCGCGGTCCCTCAGATTCGGGCGTCGCACTCCTGTTTCACATCGAGAGTTTCCGCCCGGCTTCGGGCCCCAGGACCATCACGGATCGATCCAGCCCGACAGAACTCAGAAACCGTTCGTGAATGCTCGTGATGTTGTTATCTTTTCGCAACGTCGGATCTCGGGGGGGATGGAGGCAAGGGCCTACGGCAAGTCCTGCTTGCGCCTCGGGCCCTGACCCCTGGAAGAAACCAGAGGCCTCCAGGGGCCCCGACGAGGGCCAAACTAATGATCCAAACTTCCCAGGACATCCCCAAATCACCCCCCTCGACCCTCGAGGGCCGCGGGCGAAACTTGGCACACCATCGTGGCAGGAGCTTGCCGTACGGTCAAGATCGTTGGCCTAGCGTGTCGCGCCACCCGCTCTGGCCCGCGAACCACATCGCGGCCCCCAGGCGTCAACGTCCCGAGCTCTCCCCAGCTTTCCCGCCCCGCGGAGCGGAGTGACGCGCCATCAGCTCGCCGGGCCCGGCGTGTCGCTGGGGCCGCCGCCGCGACACGCTATTCAAAAGTTCCCGACAGCATCTCGGAAGCTGCCGCACCGGCCCATTGTCGGCTTCTGCCGCAGGGATCTCCGATGCTGTATTCTCAGGAGGGGAAAAAACACAGACACAATTAATCGGCGATTCCCTTGGAAAATATACGAAAATATGGGAAGTGGGGGGAAGACAAAAACCGAGAAAATATGGGAAGATCCGGGGGATCTTTTCATTTGTGTGTATCTATTTGTGTGTCCTGGGGCCCCTTCATATATTCGCTTCTTCAAGATCCGAGCGTGCTTCCCCAAACTATACCAAAAAAAAATACGCCCAAAAGGTCAACATATACTCAAAACAATAGTTCCCAGACTATGTTTGGACTATGTTTGGATTATTTTGGGGGCATGTGTTATTTTTCGTCGAAAATCCCCCCCTGTAGGGGGACAGGCCCGACATAACGCTATGTTCGTTTCTTCGAGACCCGGGCGTGCGTCCCCGATCTCGGCCTCCGCGGGCCGCCCTCTCTCTGGGCCCGGGAGGCGCTGCAGCAGCCATGAGTTCGTCGGGGGCGGCAGAGAGGGGGGTGATCTGACCAGGGGGGGGGGGGATATCATGGCTCCTCCTCCTCCTGCTCCTCCTCCTCCTCCTCCTCCTCGAGCGAGAGCGCGGCGAGCTGGGAGGAGGCTGGGAGGGGGTGGAAAAGAGGGGGGTGATGACTAGGGGGGGTGGGGTGGACATCTTGGCGGGGGCCATGGTATTTCCCCAGATTTCATGGCGCCTCCTCTTATCGAATCGCTTCGCTCATTCCGCCGGCCCTGGAGCGCTATTTGGGGCCTCCTGGGGCCGTCTTGGGGGCCTCTTGGGGGCTTCTCGGGAGCGTCTTGGGGCTCCTTGGCGGCGTCTCGGGCTCCCCTGGGGCCTCTTAGGGGGCTCTTGGGGGCCCCTTGGGGCGGGAGGGGGGGTAGCCGATTGCAGCCACCCCCTCGGAGGCCACGATCCTCGTGAGGGGTGGTCATGGCGCCTCCTCTTATTTCATTACGTCCCTGGCCCCCCCGCTGGGCCGCGCACATGCCGCCTGTCATGATTTGCACCCCCCCCCTCTTGGACACCCCCCTCTTGGCCGCTCCCGGGAGTTTGGGGGCTGAACAGGAAGAAAAAGAGCTGGCTGTGGGGAAGGGTGTCCGGACATCTGGAGGCGCTCATTGAAAAACAATCGTATGTCTGGGTCCAGGCCCTCACGGTCTGCATGAGGGACGTCTACACCGTGCTGCAGGGCTCTGCCGCCGCCGGCAGGGCCGATTTCGGCCGCGCGGCGGTGCAGGACGAGCTGGCCGCCGCCCTGCAGGACCCGCCCCTGCGCGCATCGCTTCAGCAGCGAGGCCGCTGCTCGGATGTTGCCCGAGGTGGCACCTCGAGGAACCCAAACATCGTATGAACATCGAATTGAGCTCCGCGCGGGTTTCTCAGATCTGCGCTCGGCTCTGCCCCCCAGGTCAGAAAATTGCAAAAACCATCAGTCGTGATTTTGTTCGCAGGGTGAGGGGTTGGTGGGAGCAGCTTACGTAGGTCCTTCTGCCGCAGGGGTGTCACGTATCTCTACGCTCGTCCCCAGACCCCGGACGTCATGAGTTGTTCAAGACGTGGACCCCTGCAGGTCTGGACCTGTTCCCTGGGACCCGGTTTTCATCCTGAGTAGTTTTCTGACGGTCCCGGGGCCCATTGACGGCCTCAAGGGACAGAAAGTTGCCAACATCCTGCCGTCGTGGCTCTGTTCGCAGCGCGAGGAGGTGGGGGAAGCTATTCAGGGCCTCCTGCCGCATGGGTGTCGCTCATCCCTGCGCTCGTCTCATTCTTCTTCTCCTCCTCCTCCTCCTCCTCCTCCTCCTTCTCCTCCTCCTCCTCCTCCTCATCCTCCTCCTCCCCCTCCTCCTTCTCCTCCTCCTCCCTCCTCCTCCCTCCCCCTCCCTCTCCTCCTCCTCCCTACTCCTCATCCTCCTCCGCTTTTATGATCCTCCTCATCCTCCGCCTCCTCATCATCTTCATCATCATCATCATCATCATCATCATCATCAGCAGCAGCATCATCAGCAGCAGCATCTTCATCAGCATCATCATCAGCATCATCACCATCATCATCAGCAGCAGCACCAGCATCATCATAATCAGCAGCAGCATCATGATCACCATCATCAATCAGCATCAGCATCAACATCATCCGCATCAGCAGCATCATCCTCATCACCACCATCATCAACATCATCAGCAGCATCAGCAGCATCGTCGTCATCGTCATCGTGATCGTCATCATCATCAGCAGCAGCAGCAGCGGCATCAGCAGCATCATTTCGCTCGTCTCTCATTCTCCTCCTCCTCCTCCTCCTCCTCCTCCTCCTCCTCCTCCTCCTATCCTCGTCCTTCTCCTCCTGCTCCCTCCCTCATCCCTCCTCCTCCTCGATCCTCCTCCCCCTCCTCTTCCTCCTCATCCTCCTCCTCATCCTCCTCCTCATCCTTCTCCTCCTCCTCCTCCTCCTCCTCCTCCTCCTCGAGTCTGCTCCTGCTGCTCCTCCTCCTCCTCCTCCTCCTCCTCCTCCTCCTCCCTCCCCTCTCTCCTCCTCCTCCTCCTCCTCCTCCTCCTCCTCCTCCTCCTCCTCCTCCTCATCCTCCTTTTGTTCCACTCTTCTTCTCCTCCTCCTGCGCTCGTAACTCGATGACAGGTCCAGCTATCCTCTGCTACCTCTACCGCTATCCGCGCCTCCCGCGGGGCGATCTTGCAGTGAGGAAGTCGCTCCACCGTTCGATGACGTTGTGCAGGAGCGGCGGGGCGACACGTGATCGTTGGCATGAGTAGGATGGTGGACGGGGGGGGCGCAGCAGCAGCAGGAGCGGAGGGAGCAACGGACGAGGGAGCGAGATGGATACAAGTCCGCTTCAGCGATGCACGCAACTGAGGAAGTAGCTCCATCTCTTCTTTCCACGAGATTGGGTGGGGGAGGACGTGGGGGAGAGGAAAGAAGAGGTCAGCTGCGACAGTGATGCTGAGAGTCTCGTGAGACGGATGGCTGAGACCGAGACGCTCCAACGGGTTTGACGGAAACGGGTGGCTTTGAAACACTTGCAGGAAATCCCCAGGCCGAGGACATCCGAGGTAGTGCGACTGAGTATCGAGGAAGTTAGCACAGCCAAGCATGCAGGGCCGACGTTGGAAGCGAGAATGGGTGGTCCAGGCAGGCTCCAGAACTTGTGTTCAAGCACCGCTATCCTCCACGTTGGTGGGAGGGTCAGGATGGCAGCCTGTGCGCTGCTCCAGTCGGACGAGGCGATGTGATCCCGCGAGACCCTGGGGGCGAGGTGGGCGAGACGGGCAGCGAACGAGGACTTCCACAGGAGGAGGAGGAGGAGGAGGAGGAGGAGGAGGAGGAGGAGCGGAAGGAGGAGGAGGAGGAGGAGGAGGAGGAGGAAGAGGAGGAGGAGCGGAGGAAGGGGAGGAGGAGGAGGAGGAGGAGGAGGAGGAGGAGGAGGAGGAGGAGGCGGAGGCGGAGGCGGAGGAGGAGCGGAAGGAGGACCGAGCTTGCAGCTCGCTGAGTCTTCTTGCCGTCACGCCGGGCCTGCAGTGCCGCCTCCATTGCCGCGGCTCCAGCCTTCGCAGCAGGTGGGAACTGCCTGAGCCCGTGCGCCGCGCCGTGCAGGGTGTCACACAGCGGGGGCTCTGGCCAAAACTCGGGGCAGCGCCGGCCTCTGCCAAGAGCTTCGAGAGCGAGCTCCGTCCCCGCCTCCGAGAGACGCTCAAAACAAGGCCGCCGGATGCTGAACGAGCTGGTTGCCGCTCGAATCGGCGACGCGAGGTTGAGCGCTAGGGCACTGCGGAGGCGACGTCTGCCCCATTCGCGCAGAGAAACAGAACAAGCACACGGGAGACAGCGGTGAGGCATGCGGATCTGTTTAGCCCTGGGCAAAAATGGCTACGGACCGCCTTTTTCTCCTCCTCCTCCTCCTCCTCCTCCTCCTCCTCCTCCTCCTCCTCCTCCTCCTCCTCCCCTCCTCCTCCCCTCCTCCTCCACCACCACCCCCTCCACCTCCTCCTCCTCCTCCTCCTCCTCCTCCTCCTCCTCCTCCTCCTCCCCCTCCTCCTCCCCCTCCTCCTCCTCCCCCTCCTCGTCCTCCTCCTCCCTCCGGGACCCGCGCGCGCCCCCCAGAGCCCGCCGCAGGACATGCAGGCCCGCGGCCTCGCGCCGCCCAGGGTGGTGCGCGTGGGCGCCGACGACTACGAGGCTCCTGGGAAGCTCGCGCTCGGGATCTGCGCTTACGGGCGTCGGTCGTCTCCTGCTCCTCGTCCTGGTGATCCTCCTCCTGCTCGATCCTCCTCGAGCCTCCTCCTCCTCCTCCTGCTCGATCCTCCTCCTCCTCCTCCTCCTCCTCCTCCTCCGCCTCCTCCTCCTCCTCCGCTCGATCCTCCTCCTGCTCGATCCTCCTCCTCCTCCTCCTCCTCCTCCTCCTCCTCCTCCTCCTCCTCCTCCTCCTCCTCCACTCTCTCCTCTCCCTCCTGCTCCTCCTCCTCCTCCTCCTCCTCCTCCTCCTCCTCTCCCTCCTTATTCTCCTCCTCCTCCTCCTCCCTCCTCCTCCTCCTCCTCTCCCTTCCATCCTCCTCCTCCTCCTTCTCCTCCTCCTACCTCCTCGCTCATCCTCCTCCTCCTTCCTGCTCACCCTTCCTCCCCTCCTCCTCCTCCTCCTCCTGCTCCTCCTCCTTCCTTCCTCCTATTCTCCTCCTCCTCATCCTCATCCACCTCCTCTCCTTCTCCTCCTACTCCTCCTCCTCCTCCTCCTCCTCCTCCTCCTCCTGCTCCTCCTCCTCCTCCTTCTTCTCCTCCTCATCCTGCTCCGCCTTCCCCTCTTCCCTTCGGGACTGGCGCGCGCGCGCGCCGACGCCTTCGGGACCCTAGGGCTCGTGCTCGGGAATTGGTGCACAGGGCCCAGACCCCTTCGCCTCGCGAACAGATCACGACGGGAGGTTTCTCTGACGCTTTCGGCTTGCTTCTGATACTTTTGAGGTTCGAGGTGTTCATAGGTTTTCGTCGGTTCACCTCGGCTTTCCAGCCTCATGATGGTGTTCGACTGCCGCGCATCGCCGAAAGCGTTCAGGGGATGCCCAAATCGTCACGAAGGGCCGCGGGAGGGATGAGCTATGGCCCGAAAACCGAGATTCCTTTCGCGCCATGAAAACACACACGACGGACAGTTGTTAGGTTGTTTCTGGCCTCTGGGCATCCTCGCCGGGCCCTGGGACCGTCAAACATCGGGGGCAACGTTAGGGGGGGGATAATCATCCATTCATCACCGACAGGGGGCCTGATCATAATGAGGAGGGCCGAACGGTCATTCTTTGTCCCTGCGTTCGCGTGGCCGGAAGATGAGGCGGTGCGCGCTGAGGGCGCGCGGGGAGGGCGCGCATGGAGGGCGCGCCGGGAGGTACCGATTTCGGTATCGGTACGGTTTCGCCATCGGGGGACTATCGCCGATCTAGCGACGATGCAATTATCGAAGACGCCTACGGCGAATCACCGCCGCCCCTTGCCCCTTTGGAAGCGCCTCTGTGGCCGACAGTTGGGCCAGAGCTTTTCAAAGCTATCTGGCCATTTGTTCCCCGAGTCGATTTGGACAGACTTCGGGGAACGCGTGGGGGAGCAAGAAGAGGAAGAGGGGGAGGATGTGGAAAAAAGATGAGGAGGAGGAGGAGGAGGAGGCCTCTTGGGGCACTCTTGGGGCCTCCTGGGAGCTTCCTGGGGGCCTGTTCGAGGGTTTTTGGGGGCCTTTGGGGGCTTCTTGGGGGCCTCTTTGGCCGTCTTCGGGCGTTCCTGGCTTCTCGGACGCCGTCGGAAGCCATCTTTGGGGCCTCTCTGAGTCGTCTTCGGGCCCTCCGCGGGCATATCAGGGGTTCTTAGAGGCCATCTTGGGCGTCTTGGAGGCCTCTAGGGCCGTTTTGGGACCCTCTTGGGGCCGTCTTGGGGGCCCTTGTGTTATCAAGGGGCCCTCTTGGGCGATCTTAGGGCGATCTTGGGGGCCTCTTGCGCCGTCTTGAGCCGTCGGAATGCCGAGAAGAAGCAGATGCCAAAATCTTTCAAAAACCTAATCAATGATTTGGGCCTCTTCGTGCCCTCCTAGAAGACCTCCTGGACGCCTTTTGGGCCGTCTTGGAGGCCACTTAGGGGCCTCTTGGGCCGTCTTGGGCCATCTTGAGGCAATCTCAGGCCGTCTTGGGTGCATCTTGGACCGTCTTGGAGGCATCTTGGGGCCATCTTAGCCGTCTTGGAGGCCATTTTGGCCGTCTTGGAGACCTCTTGGGCCCTCTTGGGGCCGTCATGGGGGCCTGTCTGGGTCGTCTTGGGGCCTCGTGCGCGATCTTGAAACGATCTTGGGGGCCTCTTGGGCCGTCTTGAGGCGTCGGAGTGTTGAGAAGAAACACATACCAAAATCCTTCAAGCACTTCAGGAAAACTATAATTGTTGTCTCTTCGGGCCCTCAGGGAGGACCTCTTGGAGGCCTCTTGGGCCGTCTTGGAGGCTTCTTGGGGGCCTTTTGGGCCGTCCTGGGCAATATTGATACCATCTTAGGCCATCTTGAATGCATCTTGGGCTGTCGTTGAGGCATCTTGAGGTCATCTTAGACATCTCGGAGGCTATCGCGGTCGTCTTGGAGGCCTCTTGGGGCCTTCTTGGGGCCGTTTTGGGGGTCCTTGTGTTATCAGGGGGCCCTCTTGGGCGATCTTAGGGCGATCTTGGGGGCCTCTTGAGGCGTCTTGAGCCGTCGGAATGCTGAGAAGAAGCAAATGCCATTTTTTTCAAAAACCTAAAGAAAATCAATGGTCTTCGCCTCTTCGGACCCTCCTGGAGGACCTCTTGGAGGCCTCTCGGGTCGTATTGGGCCGTCTTGGGCGCTTCTTGGGCGAACTTGAAGATATCTTGGACTCTCGTGGGCCGTCATGAGGCCGTCTTGGACCATCTTGGGCGGACTTGGAAGCCATCTTGGACCATCTTGGAGGCCATCTTAGGCCAGCGTGGCCATCTTGGAGGCCATCTTGAGCTGTCCTGGAGGATTTTTTTCGGATCGAGGTCCTTTCCGGGTGGCCGGCGGGACGCGCCGGAGCCCCAGGGGGAGTTCTTTTGGAAAAGAACCAAAACCAAAAACGATAGGATTCGGCACGCCAGGCACCCCTCTTGCAAGCAACAAGGGGCGGCGGATATTGGCCTTCGGCCCATCCCGCCATCGTACCCGTGTTGTGGGTATGAAGCCTATTCGATGTTCTTTGGGATCTCGTGGGAGGCCTCTCGGGGGCCTCTTGGAGGCAGTTTGGAGGCCTCTTGGGGGCCGTTTTGGGGCCTCTTTTGGCCTCTTGTGGGCCTCTTGGGGCCCTCTTGGGGCCTCTTTGGGGCCAATTTGGGGCCTCCTGGGGCCTGCTCGGCGCCTCTTGGAGCCTCCTGGAGGCCTCTTGGGTTGTCTTTGGGCCCTGTTGGGAGCTCCTTTGGAGCCTCTTGGGCCGTCTTGGAGCGTAGCCAAGATGGCGAGAACGCCAAAGTCCTTCAAAAACCAATGGGAAATCAATGATTTGCGCCTCTTGGGGCGTCTTGGAGGCCCCTTGGGCCATCTTGAGCTTATCGTGAGGCCATTTTGGGCGTCTTGGACCGATCTTTCGGCGACTCGGGGCACGATTGGACCGTCTTGGGGGCCTCTTGTGGGCCTCTTGGCCCATCTAGGGTTCTTCTTGGGCCGAACAACAAATCACGCGCAACCACTTCCCGATGCCCAGGCGCACGTGCCAAACCCTAAGAGGTTTCGGACATGGGGGCCCGGCCCTCTGAAAGACTTCTCAGGACTGAGGCTCCAGGGATTAAGCAAAGGACCTGAAGACACGCCCACTCCGCCCACGAAAGCCTGAGGCACGGTGGCGGATCTCCGATTCCGAGGGTCGTCGTTTCCACCATCGAGCCAGTCCTTCCCTTTCGTTGCCCCTGAAAAAACAACACATCCAGGATCAGACAACCGGCCTCCAGGGAGGGGTATACAGATCTCTGAGGGTCCACGTCATGAAACAAAGCATGCCTACGAGGCGCTTGGGGCCTCCTGGGACCCACCTGGCGGATTTGCGCGAATGCAGTGCGTCTCCAGTTCGACTCCAGTTCAACTCTAGCTCATTTCAGGTTCGCCTCAAGTTCGACTCAAGTTCTACCCAAGTCGACGGGCGCTCGACGCGGCATCGACGCTTCGTAGAAGCACCCTGCTTCGTAGAAGGCGCGGGTCGTATCTATAGATGTAAGGCCCGCGCCTTCTAAGGAGCAGCCTCCTTCTAAGTAGCCTTCCCCCCACCCCGTATTCCCCTTTGCGCGCGCGGCCAGCAACACTGCAGGACAGGTCGGGGAGGAGGCGTTTTTTTGCCCCCGAGCCCAGACCCGCCGCCGGGAGGGAGCGCTCCAGGAAGAGTTTTGCCCCTTCGAGGGGTCGATCTGGTTGACGTCTCCTCTGCGGCGGAAGGTTGCGGAAGGCTGAACGGGAGCCAGCCGGCAGACGCAGAACGAGGGCGGAGGTTTTCGCCAACCGTCAAGAAGCAGTTCAGGATGACAGAGTCGCCCAATGGAGGGGTTCAAGACATCAGGGGGGTCATATGGGACATGATCACGTGGTCGGGGCCGTGCCAAAGGATGTCGGCTGGCAGCGCGCAGGATCGATCCGGGTTCGAGGAATGGTTTTTGGGCTCCAGGGGGGCGCTCTCGTAGCTGCGGCTGCACGCAGCAGGGAAGCAAAGGAGGGAGACCGGGAAAGAGGGTGGGAGGGAGGGAGGTAGGGAGGGAGAGAGGGATGGTCGACTAGACATAAGAGTGACCTTTCGCTGGAGTGACCTTCGGTGCGGGCATATATTGGTCCCCAGATCGCCGAACGCGATGCAGTAGCAGCGTCTTGCGTGCTCGGTCCCCCAGTGGCCCCCCAAAAGCCGCGCACCAAAGGTCACTCTTACCCAGGGTCACTCTTGCGTGTAGCCGAGATGGATACATAGGGATTAGAGACAGGGGGGAGGGAGAGGGAGAGGGAGAGAGAGAGGGAGAGAGAGAGAGAGAGGGAGAGAACGAGGGAGGGAGCGCCTGCGGTGACGCGGTCGACACCCGGAGGTTGATGGAAAGGTTGTCGAGTGCGTCATCTCTAATGGAGGGCGGCTGTGCGTGCGCTCTGAGAAGGGCGGCCTGATCTTCTTTCCCGACTACGTCGCGGCCTCGCGAGCAGCGCGGGGGGGCTCGTGATCTCAGGTGAGCGACGCCGACAAGCGGGGCCGCGTTCGCCGACATTGGCGCGTATGCTGCCCGCGACGGGTCGCCCGTGAGCGCCCTCGCTTCCAATGCAGCATGCCGCGCTGGCGGGCGTGAGTCACCGGGTGATGTCGCCCTGCCATCGTGCGTAGGACCCGTTTCTCGCCGTGTCGCTCAGGTTTCTCGTCTGATGTTAATGACCCATCACTGCAAGTGCCTGCGGCAATGCCTGCAGGCGACCTGGAGGACCGCGTTATGTAGGCCACCGCGAAATCAAGCGCAAGCTCTTCCAATCCACTCGCCCCCCCCCCCCATTTTAATGTTCAGCGACGCGCGCCACGCGGCCCGCGGGGTCTGAAGAAACATAGAAGTGGCCAGTTTCGGCGCGAACGATGAAATGGGGGGGTCCAGCGGCGCCGCTCCGCCGCGGAGAAAAAAACATGCGTTTGATTTCGCGGAGGGTTGGAGATCTGCGGCAGCCAGGAGTTCCGCGTTAGGCCCGCGGCATCCCATGCAGCGCAGCAGGCTTGGCGAGCCCCAGCGAGCGAGACATGTAGTCGTATGAGCAGGGTGAGAGGAACCGATCGCCCACCAATCCTCCCTCCTCCTGGAACCGTGATCGTGCCCCCATGTCCTCTTACCTTATCCCTCCGATCTTCTCTTTCACACCACGTAGCATAGGCCCAGGCGTCTGGCACCAGTGCAAGGCCCGATGTCAATGATCCACCGCCGCAAAGGCTTGCAGCAATGCCTGCAGTCAGCGGGGCGCCGCGTTAGACCCGGAGCACCTTGTGCACCACAGCAAGTCCGCCCAGTTCGGGCGACCAAACTACATCGTCACCCATGTCACGCTGATCCACCGATTTCTCTTGTGCCTCCCCTTCTGTCTGTCTACCTCTTCCTGCTCCTCCTCCTCCTCCTCCTCCTCATTTCATCCTCTGGCTCCTCACCCTCCTCTTCCAGCTGCTACTGCCGCCCCTGCTGCTGCCCCCCTCCCCCTCCCCCTCCCCCCCTCCCCCGACACATGCGCCACGTGAGCACCGACATCAACTCACCCCCACGCGCTCACAGACTGGCTGGGAGGCTCCCCCTGCGGGCGCTGGGTCTCTCCACGCGGGCTGCGATCTGAGATCCCGGGCTCCGTCGCAGCGCACCCGCTTCGAGGGACGCGGCGCCTCCTTCTCCCGAGAGCCCTCCCGAGGTCTCTGGAGGCCTTTTAGGGATCCAGGAACGGCCAAGAACATTGAACCGACACGTGTGTTCTTCATCTCCCTACTCCTGGTGTCTCTCCTCTTCCTCCCCCGGATTGTTCACACATGGTTCATTTCTAAGTATTCGGAAGTTCTTTGATGTTTGGGAGGGCCAGGATCCTTTCATTTCTAATTCTTCTATCCTGGGCCTCTTCCTGGCCACTGGGGGGCTAGGAACACTTAGAAACGAGCACAATTAGAAGTGAGCGCGATTAGAAATGAACGACGTGCACGCTTCGCGAATCCCCACCAGTTTGTTCCTCTCTGAGCCGGGCGCCGCTGGCTTCGCTGTGTTTTCCTTTGCTTCGGCGCGGTCCGCCTCAGCTTGCACGGCGTTCGACTCATCTTCGCGCGCCCGCTCACCAAAAAATAATCCCCACCAGCTCATCCTAAAGCAGCCAGTCTAGGGAAGAGTACCGTCTATCCAGAGACGATGCCCAGAGGATTTGCCTCGATCAGGGAAGTCGGCAGCAGACAGAGGAAGGGTCCCTCTTCGAGCACTCTTGGGACACTCTTGGGCGCTCTTGGGGTCGTTTTGGGGCTCTCTTGGGCATCTTGCGTCTTGGGGGCCTCTTGGCGGTCCCGGGGGCCTCTTGGAGCGTCTCTGGGAGCCTCTTGGGGCCTCTTGAGAGTCTCTTGGGAGTCTCTTGGAGGCCTCTTGGGCGCCTCTTGGGGCCTCCTGGGCGCCTCTTGGGGCCTTCTTGAGGCGCTATTGAGAGCCTTGGGAGCGCTCTTGAGGCCATTTTGGAGGCCACGGCTCAAAAAGAAGCGCGGCGTCAATTAGGGCCCCTCCCCCCCCCAAAGAGACCAGCCAAAACCTTTGGAAAAATAGTGCTTTGGGTTTCCTCGCAGAGGCCGGTTGGACGCTCCAACGACCCGCGCCCCCCACCTCTCCCTCAAGGCCCAGGGGGAGAGGGGAGGGAGGGGCAAACACCTCCCCGAAGGGGAAGGGGGTTGGACAGAGGGGGCTCTCTAAACCACTCACGGCCTCAAGGGCTGATGGGATTACTCCTGTTCGTGCTCCCTGCTCCTTCCCGCTCTGTGTGCATCCCCCTGCGCCTCTCCCAGCATCCCCGCATCTCCTCCACCGCATCCCTGGCCTCCTCCTCCTCTATCCCTTCTTCCCCCCCTTTCTCCTCCCCCTCGTTTTCCTCCAGCTTTCTCGTCCTCCCTTGTCATCCTCCCTCCTCTTGCTAGTCTCCGCCTCCGTCCTCCTCCTCCTCCTATTCCTCCTCCTCCTCCTTCTTCTCGATCCATTTTGAGGCGACGAACGCGACGATGACCCGCCCATGGAGGTCCCAGAGGTTCCTGGAGTCCTCCAGATGCCCCCCTTCTAAGACTAACTAGCCGTGGACGTACCCAACCCTTTAAACACATGAGGCAATTACCCATCGGACAGCTCAATACAGAAGCAAGCACTGAAGGATCCGCCGTGTTTTTGAACGCTTCGCCACAAAAAAACGTTGGGCCAGAGTCTAATGCTTCAAGTTCGCCGCATCACTCGTACGAGTCAGATCGTTGGGAGGAAGGCGACCACGAGGGGGCGTGGAAACACACTGCTTCGGGGGGAACTGGAGACATGATTCGTGGGAGTAACAGCGCACCGCGCTAGGTTCTCATTGCAGAACAGCGCGATGCGCGCTATGACAGAACAGCGCCCTGCGCTAAGCGCTGCAAGTGCCCGGGTGCACCACAGACAGGAGGCAACTGAAGAATCGATGCGGCATGGGCACATGACAGCGCCATGCGCTCCGTGGCGCCCCATCCCGCTGCGATCTGCGATCAAACAGCGCAGCGCGCTATGCGACGGGACAGCGCCGCGCGCTATGGGAGCTCCCGCCATTGGAGCCCACGAACGTGGCGACGGTTTCGCAGATCACAGCCCCCCAGGGACGGCAAGGTCTCATGGTGGTCCCCGTGGGACACCCCTCCGCTGGACCCCCAGGAGCCAACGAGAGTGGCGACAGCTTCGCAGATCGCAGCCCCCCAGGGACGGCGAGGTCTCATGGCGGTCCCCGTGCGGTACGCTTCCGCTGGACCTCCCAGGAGCCTACAATAGAGGCGAAAGTTTCGCAGATCGCAGCTTGCCAGGGGACGGGGAGGTCTCATGGTGATATGTGTGGGACACCCTTCCGCTGGACCTCCAGGAGCCTCCAATGATGGCGACAGTTTCGCAGATCGCAGCCCCCCAGGGGACGGTGAGGTCTCATGGTGATTTGCGTGGGGCACCCCGCCGCTGGACCTCCCAGGAGCCCACGAAAGGGGCGACAGCTTCGCAGATCGCAGGTGATCTGCGAGGGGCACCCCTCCGCTGGACCTCCCAGGAGCCCACGAAAGTGGCGGCAGCTTACCCCCAGGAGAACGGCGAGGTCACATGGGGTGATTTGCTTGGGACACCCTTTCCGCTGGACCTGCCAGGAGCCCACGAAAGAGGCGACGGTTTTGCAGATCGCAGCCTCCAGGGGACGGCGAGGTCTCGCGGTGGCCCCCGTGGGACACCCCTCCGCTGGACCTCCCATGAGCCCACGAAAAGTGGCGACGGTCCCGCAGATCGCAGCCTGCCAGGGGACGGCGAGGTCACGAGGCAGGAGGAACACGGAGGGAGGAAGGAGAATGAGGAGGAGGAGGAGGAGGAGGAGGAGGAGGAGGAGCAGGAGGAGGAGGAGGAGGAGGAGGAGGGGCAGGAGGAGAGGGAGGTGGAGACCACAGTGCTCTATTCAAAACGAGTACCCGACACAGGAGGGTTGGGAACACGCATCCAACCTCGAAGAGCCCCCCCCACATGCGTCCAGAGGCTTCCCTCACCGATCCTTCAACCAAGTGGCAGCCGGGCTCGGAAGCCCGCCCCCGCGCAGACTTCCGAGCGCGCGCCTCCTCCAGGACGGAAGCCTCGGGGGCGAGAGGCGGAGGAGGAGGAGGAGGAGGGGGCGGAGGACGAGGAGGAGGAGGTCGAGGAGGAGGAGGAGGAGGAGGAGGAGGAGGGGCAGGAGGAGGAGGAGGAGGAGGAGGAGGAGGAGGAGGAGGAGGAGGAGGAGGAGTGAGGAGGTCGAGGAGGTCGAGGAGGAGAAGTAGGGCTCGGAAGCCAGCGCGCCGCCTCCGCGCAGAGGGCCGCTCCAGAGGTCGGCTCGTGACCTCGGGCTCGGCTTGGCCCGCCCGCCGGGCCAGCGCGGCAGCCGCCGCGCCTGGGCGGCGTCTTCGGCAGTCGTCCGGGCGGCCCAGCGTCGAGGTCTACGCCGACGCCGACGGCGACGACGATGACAACGACGACGACGATGACGACTCCGACGACGACGACAGCGACGACACCGACGACGACGACGACGACGACGACGACGACGTCAACGACGCCGACGACGACGACGACGACGACGACGACGACGACGACGACGACGACGACGACGACGACGGCGGCGACGACGACGACGACGACGCCGACGATGCCTCCTGCTGTGACCTCAGGCCCGCGCCAGGGCAGCCCTGGGTACGCTTATGGGAGATCCTTGATCAAGATCGTGAGCGTTTTTGGTGGGGTCTGTGCTACCCTGTTTGGCCCCCCTGCTGTTCTGCCTGCCATGGGGCACTCACGAAGGAGGAGGAGGAGGAAGAGGAGGAGGAGGATT